GTGTGAGGTGTGGGGAGGTGGGAGCGACAATTCAAATGTACAAAACTTGTTAAAATGCTAATGCCTCACCGAGAGTGATGGCACAGGCCTGTGATCCCAGGACTTGGGCTTGTCTGGGCTACACAGTAAGTCTCAAAATAAATGAATAAATCATGGAGGGGTGGAAGACCGATGTAAACTCCTGAGCCCCTGGTAGAGAGTCTGACTTAACCGATCTGGGGAACTCTGTGGTATGCATTTTTAAGAAGCATCATGGGTAATTCTGGACAAGTGACCACACTATTCCACGTGGATCCAAACTGCAGCTAAAACGGGAATCGGCTGGACAAACCACAGTTGCCTTCCTCCTCCCAGCCGGAGCTTTCCCGGAATTATGTTCTAAGAAATTATTTATATTTCTATTTTTAAAACAGCACTAATTTCTTCTGCCTTCATTATAATTAATGTCATGAGCTCAGAAGGTGCCATAATAAACCTTTGTGATTCTTCACAGAGGGAGGCAGGGAGGGACGGTTGGTAATGTTATGCTGTTTCTTCCTTACCTTTTTTTTAAATAAAGTTGACAACACACTAAATATATGATTTGATATCAATGTCTCCTGTGCTTTTTTAACTAGTCACTCTGAGGTCTGCACAATGTCTCCATTAAGTGGATATGTCTTACTGTTATAATCCTTCCCTGGACATCCAAGTTCTTCTCAATAATTGAACAATAATTAGATGAAACATCTTTGTGCATAACATTATCAACTTTTTGTTAGTGTATTGGTTTTTGTTTTGTTATTTGAGACTTGGTCCCAAGTGGTCCTGGGTAGCCTAGAACTTGCTGAAAATGTCCTTAAATTCTGGACAGCTCTGCCTTTGCTTCCCAAGTGGTACCGGGCCATGCTGGTATATACAGTGCTGTGTACACGTTAGGTGCGCACTCTACCCGCTGAGGCCTAGCTCTAGCCCTGTTTCTTTCTTCATTCTTTGAGACAGTTTCAAGTAGCCCACTCTAGCCTTGAACTCACTATATAACTGAGGCTGACACTGAACTCCTGATCCTTCTGCCTCTGCCTCCTGAGTCCTGGAATTACAGGTCACACGCCATCATGCCTGTCCTCTTTTATCAACTTCCTTTGTAAAATTAACTTTTTTAATTTTTTTACAAATTGAACCTAGGGCGTTGCACATGCTAAGCAACCACCCTACCATTGGGTCATATCCTCAAACATTATCAACATTTCTTTTTTTCTTTTTTGTTTCATTTAGATGGAAATGGATCACTGGATTCAAAGATGTGAATGTGGGCTAGGGACATAACTCAGCAGCAGAACACTTGCCTAGGATGTGCAAGGTCCTAGGTTCAGTTCTCCAGCACTAGAAAAAGGGTGGGTGGGGTGGGGATGCTTTAGAGGCTCCTGGCAGACATACCACCAACTTCCGGCTCCGTTTTGCAGCTTGCCTCATCAGCATGGGTTTGCCACAGTCAGCCTACAACCTGTTTAAGGTGTGATAAAGGATTTCACTTTTGTAGGCCGCAGAGGAAGCCCTGAGTGAACGCGTTGTTGACACCACAGAGTCATGTCAAGGACCCCACAGCCTCCGTCCGGCTCAGAAGGATGGCAAAGTCCAAGTGTTGACCATGTGCGCAGAAAACGGCCACCATGCCCCACCCCCACATTTGGCCTGAAGACTGCTCTCCTACAGAGACCTCTGCTACCGAGAGCAGCCAACCCTCCTCCTCCTCCTCCTCCTCCTCCTCCTCCTCCTCCTCCTCCTCGAGCCGGCTGCACCCCACAAATCCTCCTTCCTTATCTATATGCAACAACCCCATCTTCTTGTCCAGCTGTATGCAATAATGCTGACTCCCAGTCCAACCACATATAATGAATATGTTGAGGCCAGACCACCCAACCCCAGCTCTCTGTCTGTCTGTCCGTCTTTTCTTCATTCCCTTGCTGCCCCAGTCAGGTCTGTCCTTGGAGCAACAGCAATGTTGCCAGGATCCAGGTCCCACCGTTCATTACATGTAGCTGTATCTCAAAGGACAAAAAGACACACAAAGCCATAAACTCAGTATTTTTTCTTTGAACTCTTGCATTAGACACAATAGATTAGGCTCTCACAGCCCCTCATACGTCAAAGCCTTCTTTGAGTGGCTCTTGTACATACCTTGTGTCTGTCAGGCCGTCACCTTTGTCCTCGGCTGTTAGTTTGATGGGTCTAGTCTCCGGGTCAGTCTCCCACTGGGAACACAGGTTATGCCGTTCCTAAATGCCTCGCTCCCCCTAAAATGCTGATCTCCTCATGATGGCTTCATAAAGGTTGCTCCATGTAGTCAGCCTTCTCTATCCTCAACGAACTTAGACCTGAAGACACCCCCGCCCCATGGCCATAGGAGAGCACTTTCTCTGCACGCATGGGGCTCTGAGTTTGATCCCCAGAACTCCAAATTTAAAAAGGAACCAGTTGAAGAGGGAAGATCCACCCTGAAAGTGGATGGTGCCATTCCCTAGGTTCTGGTCTTGAACTGAATACCCAGAGAGACAGCCAAGCACAACTGCTTCCGGACCACGGATACAATGTGGCCAGCCGCTTCAACCTCCCGCGCCCTGCCTTCCCCACGATGACCCACTGCATCCTAGATCTGTAAGCCAAAACAAGCCTTTCCTCCCTTACCTCACTTTTGTCAGGACACTTGGGGTTTTTTATTTGTTTGTTGTTTAGTTTTTTTGAGACAGGGTTTCTCTGAGTAGCCCTGGCTGTCCTGGAACTCGCTTTATAGAGCAGGCTGGCCTCGAACTCAGAGATCCACCCGCTTGTCAGGATATTTTTAACAGCAGTGAGATAAGCAATGAATGAAGACACTGAGGATGGTCTTGAATTCCTGTGCCTCCTTTCCCACCTCCCAAGTGCTGAGATGATAGGCATGAACACACCCCCAAACCTGGCTTATGTGATGCTGGATCAAATCCAGAGGTTCACGTCTGTAAGCAAACATTTCAGCAACTGAGCTATAACCCCAGCCGCACGCGTAGTTTGGAAGCAGTTCCTGTCTTTGTTGTCCACTCGGCATCACTGACCTTTACTGCTTCTCACTAGAGCTCTTTACAAGGCAGACTGAGATAATACACGTGTGGGGGCTGGAAATATGGCTCAGTGGTTAAGAGCACTGGCTGCTCTTCCAGAGGACTCAGGATTGGATCCCCAGCACCCACATGGCATTTAATAACCATCTGTAACTCCTGTCCCAGGGAATCTAGTGCCCTCTTCTGGCCTCTGCAGGCACCGGGCATGCATGTGGTATACAAAACACCTGTATACATGAAAAATATTTCTTTTTTGAAAAATACGTATTTGGTCTCTGCCCCTAGCTCCTGGCAAGAGCTCTGAGATCTCAGCATTTCTTGGATGGCAAGGGTGACAGTTTTCCTTTCTTGGCACTTAGGAATTTTCTGGGTTCTCAGAATGTCTTTTGTTCTAAGGGGAGTCTTACAGTCTCCTAGACAGGACCTGGTCTCCAGAGGGTCCAGGCCATAATTAGAAACTGGGAACTTCAGTCACAGCGGGCAATGCAGGTGATAATGGAGCATGCCATGCCAATGAAGCCTCTCTAAAAGTCCCTGGACAATGAGAACTGTAGAGTTCCCGGGATGCTGCAAGCCTGGAGGTTCACAAAGGTATGCAAGGTCAACATCCCTTCCCCTGTACCTTGTTCTACACACCTCTCCCACCTCAATTCATCTTGCTTTTGGTGTCCTTCACAATCCTTGCCCCCGCCCCACCCCATTTTGTGACAAGGTCTCACTATGTAGCTCTGGTTGTCCTGGAACTTGCTCTGTAGACCAGGCTGGCCTCAAACTCACAGAGATCCTCCTGTCTCTACCCCCAAGTGCTGGGATTAAAGGCATGCACCACTATACCCAGCCTTTACCATCCTTTTTTAATGGTACACATAAGTCGAATGCTTTCCTGAGTTCTGTAACCAATGCTCAGATGATGATGAGGACCTCTGGTTTATTAGAGCGGCTGGTAGACATTTCAGAGGGGAATTTCCTATCAGCATCTGAAGGAGGGGCACAATTTTATGATACTGAGCCTTTAACTTATAGACCTGGCTTCATTCCAGGTAGACAGTATCAGAACAGGAGTAATGGTGGGTGGGGCTCCCGGCTGCTTATTGTGGGAAATCCTTACATTTGGTCACAGAGTGTGAGTAGAGGGTTATGCTTTTTCCTTTGCTTAGAAAAAAAAAAAGATCTGTTTTACAAATTAGAAAAACACAGTCAGGCTGTCTTTTGTTCATCAGTCAAGAACACTGTCTGCTCTTCCAGAGGACCTGGGCTCAGTTCCTACTACCCACATGGTAGCTCACAACTGTTTGGAACCCCAGTTCCAGGGGACCGACCCCTCTTCTAGCCTTTAAAGGTACTGCACATAGCGCAGGCCAATAAAAATAACACAAAAGCAAAAACCCCTGGCCCAAAAAAAGTCGGCACATGGCCCAGGTGCCAGCACTTGCTTGTGAAGGGATCGGAATAGAGACCGTGGCTCTCTGCTCTGTTAGACGGTCCAGGCTGGGAGCAGAATTCAGTGCAGATGCAAACACTAACCGGGGTGCCAGTTCTTTGAACGCTTGCCCCAAACCTTCTGAGGCAGATCTCCCTCGTTCCCTCAACCATACCTTTCTGGCACCTGAGGTAATGTAGACTTTTGCTATTCGACTATTGAAAATTTATAATTATCCCATTTTTTTTTTTTTTTTTTTTTTTTTTTTTTTGGTTTTTTCGAGACAGGGTTTCTTTGTGTAGCTTTGCGCCTTTCCTGGGACTCACTTGGTAGCCCAGGCTGGCCTTGAACTCAAAGATCCGCCTGGCTCTGCCTCCCGAGTGCTGGGATTAAAGGCGTGCGCCACCACCACCCGGCCAATTATCCCATATTATATCTCACCTTTAACATCGGTTCCCAGAAAACGATTACAAGGAGAGGGAGCCCTTCATTGTGCATGTGAGAAATCGCATTTACTTCATTTATTATTGTTTTTACGTGATGCTAGGGCACTAAGGTCTTGTACATGCTAAGCACATGATTTCCCAAGCTACAACCTAGCCCCAGGAATCTTATAAAGATCTTCAGGGAAAATTTTGTGATGGGAAGCAGCCCCTGTCTCGATGCTCGAGATGTAGACTTACACCTGACCTTTGCCAAGGCCAGTGAGGAGCTCAGATGAGTGAGGCCCACCTCTGCTCCTGAACGACTGGACTGTTTCGGTGAGGTGCAGCTACACAGCACTGGCTCCCTGCCCTGGTTCCAGCTATGAAAAGAAGGTGCCGAGACTCTCCCATCTGATTGGCTGCTGGGGCCCCTCAAGAAGTGGAGAATGCTGGCTATTTGACCAGACAAGGAAGAGTTGGAGGTGTCAAAGGCCAAGATGAGGCTGCCTGGTAAGCAGCCACAGCCAACAGGAAGCTCTGTCAGACACAAAGGATGCTTCCAAGGCCAGATGTGGAGGCAAGAGGGGGCAGAGCTGACAGCTAACTCACTTCCTCCAGGAGGTCAGCAAGAGTAAATTGCACAGATGTTTCTTAGGGCCTCTGGGTAGAAGGTAACACTGAACACAGCAGGGCAAGCCGGCCATATTAGGAGCCATGGTGGAGGTGCCAGGGCCTTTAAAACTCAGCTTTACACAGGGCAGGCAGGTGTCCCCTGGTCTGGGCCTAAGACAGAAGTGAGAGAGACCCTTTTCAAGAGAGCTTGGATTCTGAGCCTGGATAATGTGGAAGCTACAAGCTGTGGGGTCTGTGGTGTAAGCAACAGCCGCAGCCCCTCTTGCACCTGCCCTCAGCTGCAAAGCTAACTCACACTGGTCCAGCCCACAACACTCCCTGAAGGGCAACCACACAGGCCTAGGGCCTTGACCACTACCACTTTCGAGTCCCACATCCTTGGCCACTGTTTCTTCCTCTGATGTCACAGGATTCTGCATCTTGTCCCAGATCAGCAAATTAGACCGCTTGGTTTCCCAAAAGCTGCCGTTCTTAACTACTCTGCAGGGAAAAAGTAAAAAGCACAGGGCTTCCCAGAGGTCTGCTGTGATGCTATTTCCAGCTGGACTGGATTGGCAGAAAGGAGCCACCCACCCTTGGAATGCACCCCAAATGCAGAAGGGGCACTCTCTTCTGCCGGAGTCTAGATGGGGGGCTCACAGGGTCCCTCTCAAATGTTACTGACAGGACCGATGCAGATCCGATCCAGGTCCGTTCTGAAAACCCAGACGTTGTTCGGCTCCTGCCTTTAAGGCGAGACACAGACACCTCCCTCCCCGACTGGCATTATTTGCTAAGTGGTGGTTCTGGAAAGAACAGCAAGTCAAATCCAGGAAAGGGGCCCAGGATGAACTCCAGCTGGAGGCCCACGGTCTTACTCATCCTGGGGTCATGAACGGGTCAAAGCGGTGCCCGTTTGTGGGAAGGAGAAAACCAAACACCGGTAGACAGTTGCCGCCTTCGATGTCCTGGCTCCTCCACAGCCTGCCTTCCTGTTTGACCTGGTAAGGGAAAACTCGCAGAGTTGAAGTTCACTGATGGTAGATGTTTCTTATGCTGCTGTTTTTAACTGCTGCATTTGTGTCTGGAGAACAAAGCTAGATGTTATAGCCTTATGAAGCCTGCTAGGGAAGTATTCTACCATTAAGCGAAATCTTCAGTCCCCAGAGCACATGCTTGCTCTCCTGGGCCTCCTGGAAACAGAGCAGCCTCTCAGATTGGTTACTGGGCAGACTCCGGGGCAGTTCGAAGCACTGACGCCTAGCCTCGCTACACAGAGGAAGGCTAGATTATTCTACAATATGTGGGGCTTGGTAAGAAGTTCAATCCCCCTCACCTCACCCGCAACGTGGACACCTAGACCTGCGGGTAGGCAAATGCTCTACCACCAAGCCACACCCCCAGCTTCTGGAAACCTGCTTTGGGATGAAGAATTATGTCCTCCAGTGATACTTGTTTAATATACATTCTCAAAATTCTTATTTTATGCCTTTCTTCATACCATTACCGCCCAGTTTCGTAGGAAGCCACCCGCCAGCCATTTTCTCGGGCTCTGTTAGCTCTTATCTGAATACACATCTTCAGCTGAGCGAGGGTGCCTCTTCATTTCCCCCATCCCAAGTTGACTACAGGGTCTGCTGCCGACGAGAGAGTAAGGTGAGGTCATCAGGTCCGATCCCAAACCCAGCAAGGCCAGTCCCCAGCCGCAGGGCCTAATCAAAGCTGCCCCCATCAAAGGGTCGTGGGCCGGGTCTCAGCCACAAACGTGCGTCCCCTGGTCGGTCCCCAGGGAGGCGCATTTCCTGCTTCTAGAAACTTGGCCTGGGGCCTTTCCCAGCAGGGGCCCCGCCTTTCCTCTCCGCCCGCCCTTGGGGCGGGTCCAGCCTCGCCACCCAGCGCGGGCTGCAGCACGTGGCTGGGGGCGGCGGGCTTCCTCGGCGCCCAGCTGCCCCGCGGGGTGGCGATGGCCCGCCCTCCTCCCTCCCCCGCCCTCCTCCCTCCTTCGCCCTCCTCCCTCCCTCGCCCTCCTCCCTCGCCCTCGTGACTTCTGGTAAAGGGCCCGCTCGTCCCCACCCACCTCCGCCCTCCGCCGCGGCCGGAGCGCTGCGAGCCGCGCCTCCCCGGGAGGCTGCGCCGTCTCCCGCCCCTGGCAGCGGGCTGCTGCGCTTCGGAAACTGTTGACTCAGAGGGTGGCCTGGCGGCCAGCGTCTGATGTCAGCCTGGAGCCCGGCCGGCCGCGGCGGGGAGGCGAAGGAGAGGCCCGGCGCGGGCGGCCGTGCGGGTGCGCGCCAGCGGCCCGGTGGGCGCCGTGGGGGCGGCGCTGCAGCGAAGCTGCTCGGCTGCGGCTGCCCGGGCGCCCGTGACTCAACGGTGCGTCACCGAGCAGATGCCCGAGGCTCCCGGCTGCTGCTGACTCATCAGAAAGCTGTGCGCAGCCGGGGTGGCTCTGGGGCGCCCGGAGCCGGAAAACCCCCCGAGAAGAGGCTGGGACGCGGGCGGGCACTGCAGCGGGAAGCCGCACGGCTGGCAGCTGCTCGAGCCACCTGCAGCGCGGTCGGCTGCGAGCGGCTGTAGGCTGGACCATCCCCCACCCCTGCCCACACTCCGTGGTTTCCTGTGCCCGGAGAGAGAGAAAGAGGGAGGGAGAGCCTGCAGCCAGGCATGCGAGTTCCCTCCCTGGTGTCGCAGAGCTGTTCCTAGGCTGCGACAATGGCTGGGGTGTTACCCGAGGTCGTTGGTGTTTGCCCCCGTGTCTTAAGACTTGCAGGTCTATCTGGGAAGAGCAGAGCATGCATCATTACCAGGGACTGGGTTCTTTCCTTCCTGGCCTTCCTCTTAGCCTAGCCCTCTCCAGGGAACTACACTGCGGCTGTGGACGCCACTTGCTGGCTCACAGCCTGGCTCCAGATCTTTCCTGTCACTGAAGGCTGACCGCAAGGCCCCGTGGCACTCAGGAAATGCAGCCAGGGGTCAGAGAATTCTCAGAAAGGGGTGTGGATCTGGAGGAGTGGTCTGTGTGGTGTCCACCCTGTCCTAAACAGGGACACATTCTCTAAAGATAGGTGAGGCTCCTCTGCAAGGCTTTGCATCCCAGGAAGGACAATACTGCAGGATCTGATAAGACCTCACAGGCATGCAGTTACAGTGTAACATGTGCACCCGAGGCAGTGAAGGGAAGGGGTGGGGTGGGTATGGAAAACAGTCGCAGAAACCCTAGCGGCCTGGTGTTAGGGTGGGGACATTGGTAGGAATGATGTGGACAGATGGGAAAGGGCATTCCAAACACCTTGAAGGAAACAGTACAGTAAGTTCTGTTAACAGCAAGCAGTCCCGCTTGCTTGGAAGACCCCGGAGCATTAGGTGCCCCAGCACAGCAGCATAAATGCGGCACTTAGAAGCAGGCACAGTGGCCCAGAGGGACCTGGAGGAGACTCTTCTGCCTACTGCTCCCTCCCAGCGGGTAGTCATGCCCATTCCCAGACACATGAGTGCCTTCCAAGAATCCCACAGTCCTGCTCAGTCACAGCTGCAGGAGCCTCGGCCTCAGATGGCTTTTTAAGATTTGGTGCCTAGTGTAGATCCTTTTTAGTCCAGATTTCAAATTATTTTCCTATTCTGTCCTTTGGTCACTGCGCCGGCCGACACCAGCCCTTCTCAACTCTGATGGCACTGTGGGATTTCCTAGAGGTGCTTTTGAAAAGAATGAGAGGTTGTGTATGAGAGCCCACCCCACCCTCCACCCCATCCCCGGAAACTGATTTCACAGAACCACTGAGATGGTCACCATCAAAGCTGTCTGGATCGGCCCCACACCCAGAGCAGGCTCTCTGATAGGCTGGTAAGGGTGCTGGCAGGCCAATGGGAGCAGTTATGTCTTCCCAGGCATCCACGGCAGCTGAGGGCAAAGGTTCTAATAGGAAGCAGGGCAAGAACCAGATGACCTTTCTAGCTGGTGATAACTACCACGGGCCTTCTTGAGGTGGGGAGTTAACCCCCAAGGCGATGGCAGCCATGTTACAACACCCCCATGCATACCGGGCAGGCACTAAAGGGGCAGTAGGGACAGGTGGGGGCTTTGGTGATAACAGAATCTTGATGTGAACTCTCCACCGGTGTTCAGTACTGGGATAGTTTCCCCTTGATTAACTTTAAAAATTTTATGGAGACTCCCAATCTGGGTAAGATTCCTCCATGAGTTGGTTTTTTTTTTACCCCCCTCCCTCATTTCTTGATTCATGGGGTTTAAGAAAAACTCTGAAGTCACATCTAAGTCCTTATAGTTCGGCTGCTGCAAGGGAATAACTAATCCAAGACACTAGTTACTAGTGGGTGACCAGATGTTCTCTCAAAGCAGATGTGGCCCGGAGCCCGAGGAGCACTGCAGGAATCCTTTCTTGACCCATAACAACATTGAAAGGACTCAGGGGTCTGCAAAAAGAGGGGGTTTTCGTGAGCCCCAGATCTGGTCACTGCCAAGCAGTATAGTTTCCATTTGTCCGCTGAGGAAACAGGCTGAGGCCCTGTACCCTGCTGGAGCAGCAAGTGCCAGAGCTGGGTTAAAAGAAACTGGACTTCTCTGTGACCTTTGACTTCAAGGTCTTGGGGCTTTTCGTTTTCTGTGCATGCCTGGCTACAGGTCCCTCATCATAGGGGTTTGGGTGTTAAACCCAAGAAAGCTTGTGGTTGAAAAGCAGCTAACCCACAGCAGAGTGTTTCCTGAGCGTGGGGTAGGTAGGGGTGGGGTAGAAGGCAAGCAAATTGTCAGGGTCCTTGGGGAAATGCAGAAGTGACACCAGATGCCTAATTAGAGCTGGGACTGACTCCCTTGGAAACTGGTGGCAGACACACTCTGGTAATTTTGTCATTGGGATTGCCTCCCAAACCCTTTCCATGAAGCACCAGGAGCTTCTTGGCGTTCGGATTTGCAGGTCGGGGTGGAAGGGCGGGCGGGATGGGGATCATCAACCTGGACGGTTCTCATTTTGTAGCTCAGGAAATTGAGGAGGGAGTGAGCCTCCACCGTCCCTAACTGGTGAACCTACTGCAATGCATGAAGTCAATCCACTCCAAAGCAAGAATTCTTACTCCGGTGACTGCGGAAGGGCAGGACCGGTGGCCTGACCCCCATCCCAGGCCAGGCTCTGAAGCGGGAAGAGGAACCGAAGGATCAGTCTTGGCGCGCGCCCTCGGGGACGCACAGCGCCGGGAGCTGGGGCACCCGTTTCCCTTTCCCCTCCCCGGGGAACGCGAACTGCCCCAGGTGCCCCAAAGCCCAGCCTCCCCCCCCACCCCCTCCCCCGCCCGTTCCTGGCGCGCCCGAGTCTCGGCGGTCACGTCTCCCCATCCGGCTCCGAAGTGCGAGCCAGCTGCGGCCGGGCCAGCCCGTGGGAAGGCTGCGCCGGGGGCGGGCACGGGAGTGGTCCCCAGCCCTGCCGCGCCCGGGTCGCTAGGGGAGAGGTCCCCGCTAGGCAGGCAACGCCCCAGCCTGGCACTCCCGGGGCGGGAGGGCGGGGAGGGGCGGGGCCGGGGAAGCCTCCAGGCCGCGCCCCCGAGCGAGCGCCGCGCCGGCCCCTGTTGCTGGGGAGAAAAGCGCGCCGGGCCCCGCCCCGAGCCCGCGGGCGCAGCGCCCTCTGCTGGTGAGGCTTCGGAGCTACGCAGAGACCCCGCCGGGACCTAAGCAGAGGGCTGCGGTGGAGGGGCTCTGAAAGCAGACACTCCTTAACATTGCCTTCTTCTTAGGGAAAAAGAAGATAACCGAGTTGGAAAACGAGCCGTGTGCGTTGCAGGGCATTTTGAAATGTGAAGAAAGAAGTCATAATGCGTTTTTCTAGAAAAATTTGCAAATTTGTACATATGCTTTTTTTTTTTTTTGGTTTTTTCGAGACAAGGTTTCTCTGTGTAAGCTTTGCGCCTTTCCTGGAGCTCACTCTGTAGCCCAGGCTGGCCTCGAACTCACGGAGATCCGCCTGCCTCTGCCTCCCGAGTGCTGGGATTAAAGGCGTGTGCCACCACCGCCCGGCGTACATATGCTTTTTTAACACAGGGTCTTGTTATTAGCCCAGGCAGGCCTTGAACTCAGGATCCTTCTGCCTCAGCGTCTGAGGGCTGTGATTACAATATTTGCCATCGCACAGTCCTGGATGATTTCTTTAGAAAGAAGGCAGAGACGTTATTTTGGTGATGTGGATGCTCAAAAAACAAAACATGTATTGTTCCTGTAGAAATGGGATCAAGTCTTGCCCGACTAGGACCATTTTTACCGTACTTGTGTTTCCTACGTGATTCCCTGGTCTCTGGTTGTGAATACCCACGAAGCTGACGGTACGATGAGGTTAACTAGGATCTGGAGGCCAGGGGGATTTGGGATGGAAGAATGCTCACAATGACCCTCAGATGACCTGTCCCCTAGCGGGGTATAGGGACAACACCCTGCAATCGAGCACGCCCAGTTTCTACAGCAGAATGTATGACTGTTCGCGCTGAGGAGGACAAATGGGTGCCGGGACCAGCACAGTCTGTTCAGGGCAAGGGTTTTCACACTAAGGAAAAGTCCTGTTTCCCAGAGTGTGTTTGCAGCCTGAAGCTCGGGTGGACCTGCACTGACCTCCGCAGTGGGGAAGTTGACACGGTGAGCAAGTCTGTCCAACTTGCCCCTCTGTACTCTAGTGCTGCCTGCTGGTTAGATGTTACGTCACAGGCGGCTTTGGCTACTTTGGGAATGTGGCCAGATGCCTCCCCCCCCCCCCCCCCCCCACCTCCTTCAAGCCAGTACACCAACATGGAGTGGTTTTCCCTTCAGCTTGGATCCACTTCTAGGACTAACCTTATCCCTGGAGACCTCACCTGGGGCTTTTGAGGGAGAACAGCTGTATGAGGTGGCTTTTTCCTGAACTGACTGCTAGCTTGGGAACAGGAATGTCCAGCTCAGTCCTAGCTTGATTTCTCCAAGTCCTGCAACCAAAAACATGCAATATCTTCAGGAATAGGTTTTACCATCTAGTTCTGGTGTGCAACCAGCAAGAGCAGCAATATCTGGAGTTGTTTGGGAGCCTCATGGGCTTACCAGGCCCAGAATTTACCCATCCCCCGGCACTGGATTTTGATCCAGTTAGTCTTATGGCTTGTGTGTGTACCCTCCCTCTTCACTCAAAGTGCCCTCTGCATTTGAACACCTTACATTACTAGACATAGAGTTTCTTTCCCTCAGTCCCGTTGTTGGGTATCATCTACACTCTACCCATCTTACTCCTTTAGGTGCCGTGCACATGTTCAGGGGCTTTTC